AAAATTCAAAAAAATTCAAAAAAAGAAAAAAGGAGAAAAAGGAAAAAAAGGAAAAAAAGGAAAAACAGGAAAAAAAAAGATAAAAAAGGAGAAAAAAGGGAAAAAAAATTCCGATCCAATCGATCAATCAATCAGTCATCCCTTTGATCCGATCCGGACGCAATATAGCAATAGAAGGCAATGCGTTGTATTCGGGGAAAGATGCGGACGTGAGAATAGACGGCAACCCGGATCTAGCGGTTCTACCGTCTTTCTCGCAGAACGAATGTTCGGAATGAATTGAATTGAAATCTGCGGCCAGGTACAGTCACGAGCACCTTACTACCTTTTTCTGTATACATTCTGCAACTGACACCTTCGGGAATGAATTGAATCGAAATCTGCCGCCAGATACATTGACGACTCCCCCCTACCCGACCTTTCTGCGTGCATACTGCAGCTGATCACCTCCGGAATGAATTGAATTGAAATTGACGCCAGATACATTGTTGACTTCCCTTCTTGCTGTCCGTATAACGTCGAATAAAATATGGGAGAAAAATATGGAGGTCCAACCATAAAAAAAACAACCAAAAAAAAACAACTCAACGGTCACGTTGTCCTCTGAGACTTATGGAAAGGATCGGATCCGTCGAAGTGGACACGTGGCAGCTATGTATAGAAGCCACGAGCCTCTGGGATGAATTGAAGTGAAATCTGACGCCAGATACATTGGCAGATATATGTTACTGGCTACCGGTACGTAGTTGATGGGCTACCTGTAGGTAGAGTGGGACCTGAATTGCTTCGGGACTTAGACCTGGTCTGGACACCAGATCTGGACTTGATGCTGGCGGCGGGCTCATACTGGGATCTGTACAGGAGAGGACTTCAAACTGGATCCCGACCTGCAAGTGGAATTGAACCTTGCCTTCCTTCTTCCCCCGAATACAACGTACGGTCATTATGGCTGTATGTAGACAGAAAGATGCCTCAAATACAGCTCTATAAAAAGAGCGTAGGTTGTATTCGGGGGAAGAAGGGTAGCTCCAAGCAAAGGTAGAGGTCCAGATTTCCGACCCTCCTCCCTACCGCTACCTTCTTCCCCCGAATACAACGTACGGTCATTATGGCTGTATCTAGATAGAAAGATGCTTCAAATACAGGTCTATAGTGACCGTACGTTGTATTCGGGGGAAGAAGGTAGCGGCGGTAGGGAGGAGTGTCGGAGATCTGGACCTCTACCTTTGCTTGGAGCTACCCTTCTTCCCCCGAATACAACCTACGGTCTTTTTATAGAGCTGTATTTGGGGTATCTTTCATTTCAGTCTAAATACAGCTTTAATGACCGTACGTTGTATTCGGGGGAAGAAGGGTAGCACTGGTTTCGCGTCATTTCCATGGAGGCTTTTTTTTTTGTCAGAGGGTGACACGGTCGAGTCCGTCCGCATACTCGACTTGTTCTGCGGACTGCCGATTAGCGATCTTTTTTTTTTTTTTTTCTATCATTATGTATTAGCCAATTGCTATTGGCCCATTAATCATACTTTATTATCAATGAAAAAAAATAAAAATGATCAGCCCATTAGCGAAAAACTGGGCTTAGAGGGGGGAAAAAACAAAGACGGGGGGGGGGGGAGATTTTGACAAGAGCATATAGGTTGATGTTATTGCACGGTTGATTATTTTACTGTTTATTGCACGGCTGATTGATTGGATTGGACCTTGCCGCTCTACTTGTGAAGCAGCGCCGAGACCTAGGTGATTGATTGATTGATTGGTTGATTGCACAGTTGATTGATTGATTGATTGATTGCTCGGTTGATTGCACTGGCGGTAGCCTTTTGAATAGATTGATGTGACAAGCTGGGAGGAGGGTGGGAGCTCTGCCTTAATCCACTTTCTAGTCCAGGTTCGGTTCCAGGTCAATGCGTGGGTCCACAACCACGTCCTGGTTCGTCGGGCCATCGAGTCAGCAAGTAAGAATCATTGCTCAGCAGCTATACTGTCTATGCATGTGGTCAATGATTTTCTCGTCGATCCATCCATCCATCCATCCATCCATCCATCAATCGATCAATCAGTCAATCAGCCAATCAATCAGTCAATCAGTCAATCAGCCAATCAATCAATCAATCAATCAATCAATCAATCAGCCAATCAATCAATCGAATAGTCAGTAATTTTTCGTCGATCCGTCCATCCATCCATCCATCCATCAATGAATCAGCCAGTCAATCAATCAATCAATCAATCAATCAATTAGTCCGTGATTTTCTCGTCGATCCATCTATCAATCAGTCTATCAGCCAATCAATCAGTCAGCCAGCCAATCAATCAGTCAATCAGCCAATCAATCAATCAATCAATCAATCAGTCAATCAATCAATCAATCAAATCAGTTTCTAGAATCCATTAATTAATCATTCGACCAATGAATGAATAAATGAATGAATGAATGAATGAATAAATGAATCAGCTCATCAATGAATCTCGAGATCACTCACTGATGAACTTGATTGCATCTTACAAAATCAGAAGCACAGACCAAAGAAGAGGACATAATCTATGCATTGTCATCCGGGACCACACGTGTTTAAAATGCACCTGGCTTTCTGCATGTGCAAGGTGCAGATTATGCACTTGGGCATTTGCACGTCCAGGTGCATCATTCTCACAGGGCGACCGGTTTTAGCATATTCAAATCGGGGATGGCAGTGTTTGCAGTTTTTTTCTCCTAATTTCATTTTCATTCGAAGCAAAAAGAGGTACTGCCCCCACAAAGAGGGCCGCCCTTTTTTTGTTAAAAAAAGAAGAAAAAGTAAAAGAAAGAAAAAAGAAAACAAAGAAAAAAGAAAAAAAAAGAAAAAAAAGAGAGGTATTGGTATGTTCATTATGTCAATGTACAGCTGAATTATCTGGTTGGCCAATTGAACGTTCCTGGGTGCTGCTGCCGCTGTACTGATTGAACCACGAACCTGGCCGGTATTGCGGCCAGTTGCAAGGCATGAACGTAGTACACTGCACAAATGTGCGGATTGGTTCGTTTAGTGTTCATGCGAACAAAGCAGGAACCTGGTCGCTATTGCAGCCAGGTGGACGGCCGAAACAGAGTACGCTGCAGCTGGGGGTTAAATGAACCGTGAACCTGCCAATGCGTGGAACTTGGTCACTAAGTGTGAGGGGGGTAGCCCTCACTGGTGCCTTTCTCATGCTATATCAAAGCATGAACCTGGCCGCAATTTTGGAACAGATTATCAGTGGGGCCTGACTCTGAGTGTCTGACTAGGTGCTTTGATTTTCTTCAGAGGGTCCTCAATTGAGGATAGTGGTTGGTGCACGTCTTATCTGGTAGGGGTCCTCAGTCCAGGGGTTGGGCAGATAGTGGGGGTTGGGGGGGAAGGGGGGGGGCAGGGTTCGGGAGGAAAGGAAGGGGAGAAGAGGAGTTGTGGTTGATTTTTCCACCTGTAACTGGGGTCATGAGCATGTGACACACGATGCATACGTGTTTTAGAAATGGAAAATGAAAGAGAATTCCCAAGGAAGGAAAACATCGTCAACCCCCAGCTCCCCCCCNGTTGAGTACTTGCTGGCCTCGACAGCATTCATTCTTGTACGTTGCATGCATGCATATGATGGTTGCAGAGCCCAAGTGCCTGTGAGAAAGTTCTCCTGTGTCAAATAGTTGCTGACGTCAACACTTATTATCTGTGCATCTTGCATGCGAGGCTGCAGAGAAACCAACCTGCTGTGTGTGAGGCGTTTCGCTGATGTCGAGTAGCCTGTTGACGTCAACGTTTATTTGCATTATCTTGTACGTGTGCATGCATGGTTGCAGAGCCGAGCGACGGCCCGCATCAGAAACAAGTTATATTCTTTGCCTACGTTTGCATGCATGCGTGCCTGCATGCAACGTAGAATCCACTGAATCCCCTGTGAGGAGTAGTCCGCTGTTTGAAAAATAGCAGCACGTGCTGACATCAACTTTTATTTGTTTGTATATTGTATATATGTGTATATATATATACTGTTTAATAGGCTTTCTTCTTCTGTGACGTTTGGTTTCCTCCGCCTTTTCTTTACCTCTTTGCCTTTTGGCTGCGTGCAAGTGGGTCTTTATGACACACGGGGATGGGCGCAGCCAGCGCTCAACCTGTCATCCACGTGGCTGGCCTTGTACGTAAGAGGTGACGAACAGGTGGGGCTTTCCTTCCTTCCTTCTTTTTCTTTTTCTTGTTTTGTCTTTTTCCGCCTTTGCGCTCCGATTTCCAGTGTGACAATATATACATATATTTCCCCGTTGTTGGGGTATTTTGTTTTGTTGTGGTAATCTTGTCTGCATCCCGGTTGGTTTTGTCCCCTTATTCGGCCCATTTTGCAGCAGGTAGCGGTGCTTCATGTGGGACCAGTCATCGGGGGGGGGGTTATTGTCTTGGCATCCTGGTTGGTTGTTTCCCGTTGTTCGGCCTTTTGAGCGCGGGGCGGTGCTTGTATGTGGGAATTGTCATCCGGGATGGGTTATTTTTGGTACTTTTTTTTATTTCTTTGCAGACAAGAATGTTTTGACATCCTGGTTGGTCTTGTCCCGTCGTTTGGCATGTGGGCAAGGGCGGTGCTTGCATGTGGGACTTGTCATCTGGGATCTGTTTTGTTGCCCCCTGTTCTGTTTTATTTGGCTGTTCCCTTCCTCTCTTCTTTGCCTCTTTGCCGTTTGGCTGTGTGCAAGTGGGTCGATATGACACACGGGGGTGGGGGCAGCCGCCGCTCAACCTACATCCACGTGGGCGGCCTTATACGCAAGAGCTTCTGAACAGGGGGAGTTGTAAGGAAGAAGATAAAAAAATGAATTGATAATTTTTTTTGTTTTCTTTTGTTTTTTTCGCTTTTGCGCTCTGATATTTATGTGACGATATATATACACACTTTGATGATGTATATAAACGCATGAAAATGTATACATGTATGTGTGGCTCTGCAGAACCAAGTGGCCGTGAGGAGTTTTCCGGTGGAGCCTCTTGGCGCCCTTGTTGCTACTAGTGATGGAGCGTTTTGTGCGGGCGGCAGTTTGTCAGGGAGAGTATATATATGGGAGGTGAGTGGATGTGACCAGACCACCTTCTTTCCCATCTTCTTCAAATCGAATCAAAAGGGAATTTTTGATAATAATTAGTATTAATTACCATTGAAATGAATTGAATTGATAATTATTAATTACCGTTGAATTGACAATTACGGTGTCCTTCGGGACATCCGTCAAAAAGTAAACATGGAATGATACAGAGATAGTAGATTAGCATGGCATCCCCTGTGCAAAAGGATGACACACGTAAATCGAGAAATGGTCCAAATAAAGAGGAAGAAATAGAAGGGGGAAAAAAAAAACCCGACCCCAACAACAATTGCTGGAAGCTCGTGTGTTGTCCTACCGGTAGGGGAGGAGCACGGAATTGTTAAATTAACCAATGATCTTAGCTCAGTTGGTATTACTACTATTGTACAATTTATACCAATGAACGATTGAAATGCGGACCCGAGTTCAAATCTTGATACCTAGATGAATGGAATGAAATAATTGTGAATTCTAATTCTAATTCTGAATTGGAGCAAGGTCGCTTCGATGATGATATCTCAAGGCCGCCAGCGTTTAAAAAAAGACAAAAAAAGATATTTGTTTAATTGAACTCCTGCATTTTTTTTTTCTTTCCCTTCTGCATTTTCGAAATGGGAGGCAGTCAATTTATATAAGAATGAAAAAAATTCAAAGAATAGAAGAGGTCTGAAAAAAGGAGGGGGCTGAAGAAAGAAGAAGAACAAGAAAAGGACCCTTCACTTTCCAGACCTTTTGCCTCACCCCCAAATCCCCAAATTACTCCCAGAAGCGATCTGGATTCCAATACATTACCTTGATCTTTTTTTTTTTTTTTTTTTTTCCCTTTCAAAAACCTGTCGGGGGGTGCGCTACGGGGTGTGGTAAGAGCAGCATCCCGTAGCACCCTCCTCCAGATGCTCGATCTATCGGTGGGCGGAGCTGCACCTGCTGGAAAACGGGTCCAGCATCCCTTGAATGCAGAAAGGAGATGTGAGCTTGATCTCAATGCGAAAAACTGAAAAGTTGCGGCCCAGCGCCCAAGGTACTCGTTCCTGCGTTTCCTTTTTTTATTTATATCATAGGGCAAACAGAAACAGACGAATGGGTTGTGTTATTAGGGAGAGGTGGCTGCCCCGGTGTTGTCGCGCTCGATTGTTTTTTTGAACTTTTTTGAACTTTTTTCGCTTCCAATTTGGAAGAAAAAAGCAAAACCAAATACTGCCTGTGAAGTTTTGTCTTAAATTTGTCTGTGAAAGATTGCCAAGGTGAAGCCCCACCCACCCCACACACTCCAAACACACCATCCCATTCTACCCTGCTCCACCCTACCCTACCTCACCCTATTACCGGCCCCC